GCTCAATGCCTCTGAGTATCCGGACATTTACTAATTAGGCATTTTAAACTGTTTTACCCTACCAATTATTACCAAAACAAATAAGTTGTTAGAGAACTTTACAGTAACTAGTTAGATTTCAAATGCACTGTACATTTTAAAGTTATAATTGGTATATTCCTTTTAAAGAGGTTTCAAGTGCAGTTTTACTCAGAAATGAGACAATAAAAATGATTCTTACAACACATCAGTTCTCTGTAGGCACCGAGTCCCATCTGGTAGCTTTACTAGCAAAAGTAACTTTTTTACTTTAAACAAAACCAAACCCCACTCCTGTTAGCACTTTTCTAGCTCATCCATTATTCACAGAATTATTAACTAGTTTCCAGATGCAGCAACTTACAGTACTAGAGGCAATGCAGGAGCCAAAAAAAAACAGTTTGGTTTTCAGATCCCAGTATGAACATGCATGTTTGGCAAAGGTTTTTATTTGTAAACTGTGCAAATTTTATATGGAAGTCAATTAAACAAACATGGAAACTCTTGATGTTGTTTTTAGTCACTTTTAAGACTACAGCATACTTTAAGTAAGCAGACAAAATACATTGCAGACATGACATTTTCTCTCCTCTCCCTCATTTCCTAACTTCACTCATCTAAAACCTGAGGTTAATTGTAAAAAGCATCGTGCTCCACTGCCTGCAATTTCTGACGCCAGTACATCATCCTGAGCCGAGGTGCACATTAAGAATTCTTGGCCATCATTTCCAGCTGCCATATTTCTACAGCTGTCACAAAGCAAAATTTAAAGATTTCCTTATGCATCTAGAAACCCTAAGAAGTTTCCATGTCTACATGAGACAGTTTTAAAGAGCTTTAGGAGCCTCATGGAAAACACTGAAAAAATCCTAATTTAAAGAAGCAAACTAAATGCTGATGTAGGTTTTCTGTAGTTCTCTTCTTTCCTACTAACATTATTAAAAGCGTGACTGGTATCTGTTATAACCCAGATGAAATTAAAATCTTTTGTTAGCAGAACAGATATCAGAAAAAATACAAACCACACCTCTTATGTCACAAACAAAGGAATCCACCTTCATCTGCTTTAGAACGTACAGGAGTCAAATGAACTCTTGTTTTGTGTTGGTTTTTAAATTTGGAATTAATGTTTTCATGAAACCATTCTTAGCAATAAAAATAGAGAAAATATGTCATAGAAATACACTTGCTTACAAAGAGAATGAGGATTCAGCTGCCGTTCAAAGTACTAATAAGCAGCTAAGCAAAATAAAGTTTGTTTTTTATTTCAGCATATTTCAGTATCATTGGATATTGTCTATTTAAATCACTGAATCTATTTGAAAGACTTAAAAACAAATTCTGAAACTAAGTCTTTAGGGTAAAGAAAGGAAATACCTGTATCAGACATTTACTGACATCACTAGCACAGAGAGCCTTATTGCAGCCCATTGATGGTGGAATCCATAATAAGAACAGCAGGATAGTTACTATAGGCACTGTGACGTACTGTGACCTCATGATTTCCTGCAGGCAGTCAATTTCTGGAATCTCCAAGCAGCACTGAAATAAGAAAAAGCAACTGAAAATACTGTATTTGCTGGAGTGGAAGCCAAATCCTTTTTGTTTTTCTCATGTAATTCCTTTAAACCAATTTTAAGGGCTTTGCAGGGTGGAGTGATTTAAATCAAATTGAAAATTGTGAAATCAATGTGAAGTTATGCTGCTGCAACATTAAACTTTATAATAAATTAAAATATTAGCATGTGGGTTTTCTTAATTGCCACTACTGATTAGGGAATCTTATTTGAATGTTATAAATCTGCTATATGCAAAAAAAATGTTTTCGAAGTATTAAAATTAAGGCCCTGATCCTGGAGACCCTAAAACCAGCTATGTTACTTTTCTCACACAAATACACTTAAAGTATGTACACAGGTGTGCATAGCATCAAAAGCTAAAATTGTATTTTTACTAAAAACTTCTTAGTGGCATGAAATCTTTATCACTTCAAAACAAAACCGCTTCAGTGTTAACAATAAGATGTTTAGACTTTCAATACATTAACAATACATATATGCCAACATTTCAGAAAAAAAAGGAGCCTAAAGTTAGGTTCCTAAACCTGTACCTTAAACACTTGAAGGTGGGATTTTTCAAAAGCACATAAATGACTGGAGTCAATGAGACACGTGCACCTAAAATTGGAGGAATATAGCTTGGTCAAAGAATTTCAACTTCCTTCACTTCTGGAAGTTCAGTATATCATAGATGATATGGTTTTGCAAATACTACGTGTTTGACTTCAATATTTATGTTATCAAAATAGTGTATGGACCCCAATCATAAACTAGGACATCATTCTGGCAGGCACTGTACAAATACATAACAAGGAGCTTAGAATGAGCTTGTATTGTTCTTATGGTAAAGATCTTAATGAGGCCCTGGATTTGTCTTGTTCAGCATTTATGAATCTTTTAGTAGAAAAACAATTCTATGTAAACTAAAATTCTACTAGCAGTTAGGAAACTAATTAAAAAAACCTAAGTACAACATATCCACTCGAGCAATTTAACACTATAAAATGGGAAGAAATTAAATAAATATCAATATATAAATAAAAATGATTTAAATATAGAATATCATTTAAAATTCATAGTTATTTAAGAAAAAAGCATTATTTGTATCCAGAGTTTTGGTGGGCTTCCCCTATTCATTCCAGGGGCATATACAAAGAACAGAGGATCTTTCACACAATCAAGAGCCATTTACTTTCACTGTTTACATAATAATGTTTTGACATAAAACATCAAGCTTTATGTATCATAAATTATAATCTAGATTTAACAATAAATATCTTAATAAAAAATGGCAGGAACTAAAATAAATATATGGTAAGTAAACAAGTACTTACTTTACAAAGGAGAAGCTCTGATAGATTAGTGAATAAAGATATGTTTTAACACAGTACCAAATTGTTTCAATGCCATCAATCTGGATTTAGTCATTATATAGCAAAGGGTTTCTGAATACACAACTGGATAGATGTCACTAATATGAATACACTGCAATGGAGTTATCTTAATAATTTAATACAGATGTGTGTTGTGGGGTGAGTGGCTAACAATTTCCATGCTTCACTGCTTATTCTTAGTTGCCACTTATCCTTTCAATCTACATTTTCACTACACCCCATTTTCTGCTTGCCCTCAAAACTTTCTCACTGGCTGTCTTCATTCCTTACCTACATTCAGTTTCTGCCTGCTACCTATCCCTGTTGTTTAACCCTTCATAATTCAGTTGGCTCATTCCCAGTTACTCACTTCCTAAACTGCACACTACAGCTTGACTTGGAAGGTCAAGTTTAAGTCTGGCTTAACTAACACTAGTTACTCACCTTGTATCTACACTATGAAAGGCAGTCAACACCTTTAGTTGATTTCAGGTGATCGAGTTAGCCAAAGCATGTGTTAGTTAAGTCCATCCTAAATGCCCATTTTTTCTAATCTAAACAAGGGGAGAAAAATACCTCTGAAAGGCCCACCATGAGCACTGATGATTAACTCCCTTTCCCTGCACAAACATCTGCTACGGCAGCAAAGGAGTAGATCACTCTCTTTGCATGGGTCTGGACCAACACATGATTGGTAGGAATGATGTGGAGAAATGAGGAGCAAGGTACTTGAACTGTAATCTCTTTGGGACAACCTCTTTTTTGTTCTGTTTTTGTACAGCACCTAGCAGAGCAGTCCCCTTCACTATCTACATTGCTCTTGCTCTTTGCAATGGCTGGGGTTGCGGTGGTCTGTATTTCGTATCATTTGGCTCCATAAACAGAAAAAAGACTGAGGTCTCTGTTCCTCAGAGATTCATTTTGTCCTGGGTGGCTCGGTAGTCTTCAAGTAAATGACTGTACAGAAACAACTCACAAATATATCTGATGCCAACTTGAACTTGATCTCCCAAATAACGTAAAATATGCATAGAAGGTTGGGGTTTTTTGTTTGTTTTTATTTTTTTTCTTTTTGCAATGCAACCATTTCCCCTAAACGTTTTTCTACCAACTCATGTGCTAACTGCTCACAAAACACTCGGAATTGACTTAATACTCCAAATAACAGTCCGAGCTCATCCACACACCCTGCCCTTCTAACCGAGTCACCATTTTCCTACCAAAGATGGCCCTGGCACAGGCCTCCCGACGGCTGGCGACAGGGGGAAAAAACAAGCACAAAATGTTTTATCCCGATACTTTCCCAACCTTCTCTGGGGCAGGGGCGCTGGAACAATGTGTCTGGCGGGGATGCTGAGAGCCATTGCACCAACCTGCAAACCCCGCATTTGATGGAAACCACTTCAAGCCAGGAGGGGCAGCGCCCCCAGCACCCCTGCAGGGCGGCGTGGGGGGAGGCAGCCGCACCAACCACAGCCACAGGCAGAGCCAAGAAACAGCAACAACTCCCCGGCCAATCCCCACCCGCCTTTCCCGGGAGCGTGTGCCAGGCGGTGTTTCGCCGCTGGCCGGGCCGGGAGTGTTTCCAAAGCGCCGTTAAAAGGCAGCAGTGGCCTCCCCAGTGCAGACCAGCGCCCCATGCCTGGGAGTGTCTAGCCTGTCTACAAAGGCAGCAGTTCGCTTCGAATCAGAGGAGCGAGCCGGAGCTCCTGAAAGAGCCACAGACTCCACGCCCACCGCCCCGCTCCCCCTTCCCGGCACCGGAGCCCCCCGATCTCCTAGCCCGGCTGCCCCTCTCTCTGCCCGGCCCCTGGCGCCCCAATGCCTCCGTCCCGGCTCGCAGCGGCCCCCCTGCCGGCAGCCGGCAGGTCTCTTACCCCAAGGCGTCGCGGGCTGGGCAGCCCCCCTGTGCCTAGCGCTCCGGCTGCTCGAGAGGCGGCGGCAGCGGCCGCGCTCTGCAGCCCGCGGCTTCCTTCGCCTCGGCCGCACGCAGCGAGGAGGCGGCCCGCGCGTCGCGCCGCTCACACAGGGCCCGGCAGCGCCCCGCCTAGGGGCACCGTCAAGGGACAGGACCCTCCCCCGCTCTGCCCGGCCTGAGGGAGGGGCTGACTCCCCCCCTCACACTCACACCCTGGGGGAACCAGGGTGCCCCCGCCCGCTTGCATCGCTCCGCCTAGGCCCCCTTGGTCCCATCCAAGGAGCCCCAGGGAGGGGACGGGCCTGCTCCACCTTCCTCACCAGCTCCAAACCGGGACCATTTAGCGGGTGAGTTTGCCACAGTTGCCAAACTTTTCACCTCTGCAGCAGACGGGCCCCTGAGGCCCAGATGTGGCAGCAGCTCCACATTTGAACAGTGGACTGACTCTCTGCATGGTTGGGGTGGAAATTCACCTTGAACGCCTTGTGCTGCGCTGGTCGCCCGTCTCAAAAGAGTTACACTGAATTGGAAAAAGTACAAAGCAGGGCAACAGAAAGGAGTAGGGGTGTGGAACAGCTTTGAGATGAAGAGAGATTAAACGGACTGAGACTGTTCAGCTCAGAAAAGAGAGGCGGGAGGGGGAGATAGGATAGAAGTGTATAAATCATGAATGGTGTGAATAGGGAAGAGGGGCTTAGTTATCTGTAACTGGAGATTCTTCAAGATGTGTGGTCCCTGTTTGTATTCCACCCATGGGTGCGCACGCGCGCCATGCACCTAAGTCCAGAAGTACTGTTTCTTAGCAGTAGCCATAGACCCACATGTGCGTAGTGCATGCTCAAAGCTGAGGGTATAATAGGTCTTGCGGGTCGACACCTCTCCAGTGTCCCTTATTGTTGTGCAGTCCAGTCCACAGCAGAGGGGATGGAGGGTGGGTATTAGAATACAAATTGGGAACACACAGCTCAAAGAACCTCCAGTTGCAGATAAGTAATCTCTTTTTCTTCGAGTCATGGTCCCTATATGTATTCCATACGTGAGTGATTAACGAGCAGTGATCAGTGCAGAGGTGGGTGCGAGGATGCAATAGGAAGTGCAATCGGCAGTACAGCTTGACCCACAAAAGTCCGTAGCCACTAGTTGTGCGATGGCATTGTGGGATGTGGACGGAGTGCCAGGTTGTTGTATGACAGATGTCTTGCCACGAGACGACAGCGAGGCAGGCTGATGTAGCTGCTTGCGCTTGCATGGAGTGCACTGTGGCTCTATCAGGCAGAGGTACATTGGATTGTCTGTAGCATTAATGGATCCACCCAGAGACCCATTTGGGGATTCATTGGGAGGAGAGAGTTTGGCCCTGGGATCAGTTGGCAATAGCCACAAATAGTTTTGGCAATGTGCAAAATGAGCGAGTCAGGTGGAGGTAGAATGCCAGTGCACAGCGGACATCTTGGGAGTGCAGGATCCTATCCATGTGGGAGGTGTGTGGTTTGGGACAGAACACAGATAGGTAGATGCATTGATTTAGATGGAACTTCAACACTATTTTTGGGAAGAATTTAGGTGTAACCATAAGGAACATTTATTCTGGTGAAACATGGTGTAAGGGGGGTTTGCCATCATGGCCGCCAGTTCACTGACCTGTCTATCTGAGATAATGGCTACCAAGAATGTCACCTGTATGGAGAGCTGGAAGAGGGAGCATGTTGCCAGTGGCTCAAAGGGTGGCTTTGTGAGGGCAGAGAGAATGAGATTAAGGTCCCACAGGGTGTGAGCTTGAGTACTGGTGGGAAGGTACTGAGTAAACTCTTCATGAAACGGATGGTGGTAGGGTGTGTAAAAACACAGAGGCGCTGTCCACGGGGGAGAAAAAGACACTGAGTACTGCCAGATAGACTCGTATAGAGCTATGGGCAAGATTGAGAAGGTGGTCAAGGACGATAGGTATAGATATAGCACTCAGTGGATGGTGATGGCAGTGAAGTGTCTCCATTTAGCTCTGTAGCAGGCCCTGGTGGATACTCTCCTGCCCTGGTTAGGGATGTGTTACACTGGGGTGGAGAATGCCCTGTCTATCCCCGAGCCCCATCCAAATACTAGGCTGTGAGGTGAAGCTAGCCCAGCTTGGGATGTCAGACCTAGTCCCGATCTTGCATGAGGAGGTCCGGGAGTGTTCAGAGGCAGAGTGGTGTGTGGATGGAGAGTCTGTGTAGGTCTGTGAACCAGAATTGGCAGGGCCAGAATGGGGCTATGAGTATCACGGTGGCTCAGTCCAGGCGGATCTTGGGCTATGCTTGTGGGAGGAGGGGAAATGGGGGGAAAGGCATGGTGGAGGTTCTGTTCAGGGGAGGAGAAGGGAGTCACCCTGCGAGTCTTCCCTTACAGCTCCCCTGGAGCAATAAAGGGGCAGTTTGCAGTTCTCACAAGTGGCAAAGAGGTCCCACCATGGGGTGCCCCATTTATGGAAGAGGTATCCAAGCATGGCATCATGTAATTCCCACTCGTGGTTGAGGTAGAGAGTCCTGCTGAGTGCATCAGCTAGGGCATTTTGGGTGCCTGGGAGATATATGGCTTGGAGCATCACCTAGTGCTTGATGCACCAGTTCCAAAGATAGACAGACTCAGAACAGAGGGAGGGAGACTTGGTGCCACCCTGCTTATTCATGTAGTGTTGTTGGAGAGCAATTGAATGTGGTCGGACTGGATGAGAGAAAGAAATGCCTGGCACACGAACCTGACTGCCCACAGTTCTAGCATGTTTATATGCATTTTGCTTTCCCGTGCATTCACACTCCCTGGGCAGCGTGACCATCTAGATGATCTCCCCAACACACAAAGGAGGCATCCATTGTAATGGTAGGATCAGTCCATCATGTGAGGGAGGTAAGCACTGTTCAGAGAATGAGGACCCTGGCCTCCATATGGCCCATGCTGGCGCTGTAGATGGAGAGGAGCCACATCTGGAAGCAACGCATATGCAGACATACATGCAGTTTATATGTTCAAGGACAGAGACACAATGGCGGACCATGGTGCGTGGCTTGCAATGCAGATCTGCAATAATGGTTGTCAGTGTTGCAAATTGGTCCAACAGAAGAAGAGCCCTTGTTATGGATGGAGTCGAACCATGCTTCCAATAAAGTGGATCATCTGTGTAGGTCTGAGCACTGACTTTTCCTTGTTGATGCAAATACCTAGAGACCCCAGGAAAGTGCAGAGGGTGAGGATGGCAGAGGTGAGTTCTTGTTGGGATAGCGTGACAAGGAGCCAGTTGTCTAGATAGTAGCCGAGATGGTGTATTTGTGCTGCTACTATTGCGAAAACCTTCATGAAGACTTGTGGAGCCATGGCTATGCCAAAAGGGAGAACCCAGAATTGCTAGTGGTGTGTCCCACCTGAAAACGTAGAAATTTCCACCGGGCCGGGTGAATGTCCACATGGAAGTAGGCATTCTTCATGTAGAGACTGTGAGCCAAGCCTCCTGGGGGAGAGATGGGATAATTGATGCCAGCATCACCATGCGGAATTTGGATTTTCTGATAAAGGTGCTCAGCAACCGAAGGTCGAGAATGAGGCAGCACCATCCGCCCTTCTTAGGGATGAGGAATTATGGAGAGTAGAAGTCTCATCTCATGTTAGGAGGTGGGATCTACTTTGTGGCTCCCTTTAGGAGAAGAGAGTCCACTTCTTGTTGGAGAACACATTGAAGGGAAGGGTCCCCGGGGGTATCCAGGGGTGGGGGGCTGATGCGGGGAAAATGAGAGAAATTCTATGGAGTATCCATGGTAGATGATCTCCTGTACCCAACAGCCCCAATTGTTGGCAAATAGGCCAAAATAGCCCGCAAAGACAACATGAGGATCTGCAGGTGGCAACGGGGGAGGTTCGCGGGTCTTGACCATCACATCAAAACTGAGGCTGCTGGTGGAAGAGGTGGTCATGGCAGAGGCAGGGAAGCAAGGTCACTGAGAGCAGTGCTGCCTACGTGGGGCCTCCTGTTGGCATTGGTAGTAGGCTGGGTAGGGCGCATGCGGTCATGGATGGAACTGCTACCATTGTTGTCTGAATCGCAGGGCCATGGTATATATCCCTAGGAACTGTAGCATGGCCCTGGAGACTTTCAAGAATGAAGGGACTAGTCTGTCTTGCTGTGAAACAGTTTGTACTCGCCAAAGGGGAGGTCCTTGATTGTACTTTGGACTTCCCTTGGGAAGCCAGATGACTAGAGCCACAAGTCCTGGCGCATGACAACCCCAGTTGTGTGAGAGCAAGAGGATGTGTCAGCCACATCTACAGCTGCCTGGAGGTCCACTTGGGCAACCAGGTGCCCCTCGTCTACCAGCGTCTGATATTGCTGCTGTTGGTCTGGTGGCAGTTTATCCCAGAACTCTGCTAGCTTAGCATAGTTATTAAAATCATACTTGTCTAGCAGAGCCTGATAGTTTGCAATCCAGAACTGTAGTAATGCTGAGGAATATACTTTCCTCCTCAACAGATCCATGCACTTTGCAGCCTGGTCTGGAGGGGTTGACTTCTATGTTTGCTGGCATGCCTGCTCAGCTGCCACGTGCAAAAAATAAAATCCATCCTTTTAATAGGTACAAAATATCTCCACCCTGCCCACTAACGTGTGGGGACACAGAAGGAAGGGGTGTGCCACACTGCTCACACTGGGTGAAGGATGACTTCATTAATAGGTAGTGACACCCTTGAGGGCCCCTGAGGTTGGAAAATGTCCAGGAGCTGGTGTTGCTTGTCCTGAACCTCCTCCAATGGGATGCCCAGGTTTGTTGCTACCCTCTGCAGCAAGTCATGATATTGCCGGTAATAATCCTGTGAAAAAGGGAGAGAGGAATAAGTGCCTCATCCAGTGAAGAGGAAGCAGCCATGGGGACTGGTGAAGCCAGTGGCACCGGTTGGACATCTGCCTCTTCCTCAGACAGTGGCGGTAGAGGAGCCGGGCAGTCGTAATAGGATGCCTGGCAAGGTGGGTAGCATTGGCGGTAGGAGTCCCCGGGTGCCCAGTACAGCCCAGGCGAAGGGTCCTGCGGTTGCGGTGGACCCCACGGGTACTGGTACTAGACCCTTACTGCTAGATCATATTCCAGTGGATAAGGTGGTCAGGGATGTGAGTCGGAATTGGGGTGTGACATTGGGGAGAATGAGGGTTCTGGCTCCGAAAACTCCTCAGACTCCAAGGACAGTTCTGGCACCGGGGAACTGGTGGTACAGGTGGGTTGTGGTGTGGCACCAGTAGGAGCCGGTCTGGCAGCAGTAGAAGTGGTTTGTCCTCTGGAGTGGTGATGTCTTGGGTGAAAAGGGGTCCATAGAGGGTGGGTACAGGAGT